GCATCGCCTTATGGAAAGCTGCATACTGTAGTGGTAGCTCAATGCTGTGATTTATGTGATGGAATACCCCCCCCAGAATTCCAGTGCTTGTATTACAGTGCATGGTGCATTGCACTGAGAAAAGTGTAGATGTTCCCTGGCAGTGCTAAAACTCCCTCTGCTATATATGTGTATGTGTGGCATATATGCAAATGGGCGTATGTATGCAAATATTCACACAAAATGCTAATATAACTTTGTGTCTCCTTTTTAAGCAGTAGTCAACCCGAGTAGCTTTTAATTAGGTTATGTACAGATGAGGGCTTAGAAAGTTCAGTAGCTCAGAAAAACCCAATGTGCTTGTCACTGCATGGACATGCTAAGCCTGCTTGCTTTAAAAAAAAAAAAACAACCTGTCTTTCATCCCTATTCCTGCATTACAATGAAGATGAACTGACCCTCAGCATCTGCTCAAGGAGAAAACTGGGATGCTTTCCTGGGGTTCCCCCTTGACATGCAGGGAGAAGTTTAGTAAGGACATCTGCAGATACCAAACTTATCACAGGACAGTTGAGGCTGGAAGGCACATCTGGATATCTCATAGTCCAATAACCTGCTCTAAGCAAGTTCACCTAGAGCAGGATTCCCAAGGCCATGGCCAGTAAAGGGTTTAGTATCACCAGGGATGGAAACTCCACAGGCTCTCTGGACAACCTGTTCCAGTGTTTGACCGTCATTACAACAAAAAGGGTGGGGTTTTGTGTTTACATGGAATTTAGTGTATTTCATTTTGTGCCCATTGCCCCCTGTCCTTTCCCTGGGCACCACTGAGAAGAGTATGGCCGCATCTTTTTTACTACTTCCCATCAGGTTTTTATAGATACTGACAAAGCTCCCCCTTATGTATTAATCATCAATGGCAGATGCACAAGACAGGGAACTGAAGACAAGTCAGTAGCCTGGACAAAGCAGTGCAAGGATTACAGTGGATCTCAACCAGAATATGAGTTAAAAAATAGTCATGTTGCTGCACATATGACAAATCCATACTAGAACATATGGACAGCAGTATTATATGTAAGGCAAGTGGCCTTACATCTTACGCAACAATGGTCAGGTCTCTGCTGAAGGATCGTGGTGAGTTTGGGCCATTACAACTCAAGAAAGTTGCGTCCCTGTCAGAGACAATCCCAGTGACAGCAACAATGTTGATCGCTGTGCTGAAAAGCATCACCTACAAGAAAATCTTACAAGAATAGGGTTGGTTTTGTCTAGGGAAAAAAGGAAGAAGGAGGGGTAAGTCTTCAAGTAGTAAGTCTTCAGGTTCTGCAGGAGGAAGTAATGGACAAAAAAATTACAGTCTTAAAAAGTAAGGTGAGAGATTTAGGTTGCACATTGGGAAAACTTTCCGAGGCTGTTAAGGCACAGATTGCCTGAGGAGGTTCCTCATCTGTGGAAGATACAAGAAGGTTATGTAGTATCTGCACACAATGGCAGAGGTAGAGCTGATCCTGCCTTAGGAAAAAGACAGACTATGTGATGTCTTGAAGCCCTTCCAACCCAGCTTTCTGTTGTTCTATGAAAAATGCTTAAAATCTACCTTGAACATGTGCCTCCCATGAAGCGTTAAAAGGTATGGCTACCAAGCCAGGCATTTCTACTTTTGCATGATTTGAAATGACAAAATCCTCCTTGTTTTATTATCAGCAAACAGAAACAGAAACTCTAAAGTATCTCACCAAAAAGATCTCCAGCATCTAGAGAACACTAATGGGAGAAACTGAGTAGCTTAAGATTTAGTCCAAGTGATCTGGAGACATTTCTGAATCTGAATACTTGAAATAGGCATTTTTAACATAACTATCCTCAAACTATTTGTGGGCATCTTCCCAAATCCGGGCCTCACAGAGGTACAAAATATTTCTACTCCCACAGTCTGTATTACGTTATTCTTCAAGATGGATTGTGTCACATTTGTCACACATGGTTCACTCTTGCCCTAAATGTTTTTGCAGCCACTGGCACCATTGCAAAGCAAGTATAAAACACCATCAGTCTAATGTATTGCCGCCTTTTATTCGATAAGTCCTAATGTAAATGACTCCGCAAGGCCACGGGGAGCTGGGCTCTCCTGTTTTATGCATAGTTACCTGTCACTCTATCTGCATGGGCTGCTTTCAAAGACCTCTTTGTCTGCAAGGTAAACTCAGGCTGGAGATGATCTCAGACTTTAAATCCCAGCCAAGGGAAGTCATCAGGCTACAAAACCCACAAAGTTAAAAATACAGGGAGCCCTGGAAAATCAACAGGAAACAATTTCTGCTGACTGAAGTTTTCAGCCTTCTTCCAAACGCCAGCTAGCAGCGGCCTGTCAGATGGGACAAAGCAGCTACATGAAAGCAGCAGAGGTCCTTAACTTAGTCCATTAAGGCAGGAGCAAATGCCAGGAAGCGATTAGGATTGTCCCTCAGCTGTGATTGTATATCTGGATGTTTTGGGGACGAGGTAGCTGAGTTCTGCAGACCCTCTTTCCACTCCTCCTTCCTTGCCAGGGTGCCCTAGACAATGGTTGCCAAAGGGGATTTCTCCCTTTCTTCTGGCTCTTGACATTAGCAGGCCTGAAATTGGTCCTGGCAGTTTGGTATGAAGTACTTACCAGCTTGGGGGATTCCCAGGCCTGTTTGGATGTCAGGTGTCTGAACGCAGCTTTGTTTGGTCTGCCTGTCTCAGGGCAATGCCTGTCAGACTGACTTAGTTAGATTGTAAGTGCCACCCATCAAATGAAGATTGTCCATTTTCACCCCCAGCAAAAAGTGTTAAGCTCTTTTGTACAAAACCATTATGGAAAAATTTACGGAAGAAAACATAAAAAACGTGAAAACACAGACCTAAAGCTTTCCTCTCTTGCTCTGGTATTCACATCAGATGATGCATCCCTCAGCTGCAGAAGCTGAAGGTCCAGCTCAGTAACATTCTGCTTTCAGAGTGGGACATCTCTGAGGCATATCCAGACACAGAGGTGGGAAAACCATCCTTTCATCTCCCCAGTCCATAGAACCTCTCACACCCACATGTAAGCTAACAAGCTTGCTTTGACCCACTGGGGAACTCACTGATGGTACCCAGAGCATCTGCCCTTGCTGAATTTGTTTAAGGCGGACTCCCCCATCCCTACATCTATTGAGATTTTTTTTAAATGTATAAAATGCAGGTGCCTTTTAGAGGTATATATTTTCTCATCTCTGATCCAACATGATCACTGAAGAAGCATGGCTGTGGCCAAGGCAGCACTGTGCAATCTCATAAGAAAAGCCCAGCCAGTTACCTGAACCACTGCCATTCCCTCTGTGTGTGTGCGTGCGTGCGTATGTTTTTGAAGTAGGATTTATTTCTTGGCAGCAGAAATTTTCCCCCTCCTTTCATTGTAATTGGGAGTTACAATGATGTAAGATCATGTAAAGGTGTTGCTTTAAAAAGTTTACACAGGGCCGCAGACATGAAATCTTATTACATCATTGGGTCACTAGTCCACAGTCATTGCTTTAAAATTATGTGGATTTTAAAAAAAGAAAGTTGGAAGTGATTTTTTCATTTGTCGTCTGGCCTCTGAGCCTTTACAGGTGCACTAGTTCTCCATTGACAAGTTTTTTCCATGTGTTCATGAGGACAAAACATGCTTTTTTTCATTTTGGGTTTGTTTTGGTTTTTTTTTTTGTATAATAGTTGTTCCTGGCACTATCTTTTGGTTCCAGCTAGTAGAAGTATCAGAAAAACGTTAAATACTACAAGAATATCAATAAAATTACAAGCATTAGCAACAGCATCTGAGTGCTCTGATATTAGGTAGCCACTGGTTAAGAGATGATTTTATTGCTGCCCAGTCTCCATCATACTAAGTCTGAAAGAAATGCATTAGCAGGAAGGGGGAAAAAAAGATGTTCAAAGGGAGAAGACTAAATTTTCTGTCTCAAAAACTGACACCTGATTATTTATATACACAGGCACTAATTTAACATAGGATTCTGAATCCATACAGGTATGTTTGCAAAGTGCTGGAAAGGGAGGACTGGCGTGGCACAAGAGTAGGCTATTCTAGTCTGGGGTCTACTCATTTGCTTGTAAAGGAAAGAGTTATGATCTGGAGCCCAAGTTGAGCGCTGATCAGCTAATCCTGCCATCCTCCTCCTACTGAGAGTGGCCTGACACCACCGAGTCTCGCTGGCACTTCTATCTGAGGGGCAGCAGAGCCAGCGGCCCTCAGGAGGATTATCACACCTCTCTCCCAGTTAATTGCTCTGATTTGTGTCTTAACCTTCACTGACACTCACTGCAGTCGTAATCGCCCCTGTGCACATTGCCTTTTGCTCCCCATAGCTTAAATATTCTGTGCCAACCTTTCCAGCCTTGTAAGTCACACCTCTTTTAAAATATAAAGTGTTTTAATAATTGAACAGTACTGTTAATAGCCTACCCAGCTTTGCTAACCCTTTAATAGTTAAAATCTTAATAAGTAAACCACATCAGCTGGGTTTTTCTGCTTATCACCTTCCTGCAGCATAATGAGGCTTTTCAGCTATTTAGGGAGGTTTAAATCTTTTGTATTAGGTTTATAGCTGGCCAGTGGCACGACAGCCAACTCAGACATAATTTTAAATGGATGTTTCCAAGTGGAAACTTGGAATTTGAATTCAAATTACTTTAGCTCTTTTTATTATTATTATTCTTTCCTGTATGCGTTTTTTAGCTTGCTCATTCTTAATTCCTTCAGTACTTATTACTGCAATAAGCCTAATCTTGTATACTTGTACAACCCAAGTGTGGGAGCCGTAAATACTTCTGCAGTCTCTCCAGGGCAGATCAGCTGTAATTGGATCTCCCATTGCCTCATGGGAAAAAAGAAAAAAAAAAAAAAGAAGAAAAAGGAAAGGCACATTCCAGCCAAAGACAATTCTGTGTTTGTGTCCATGTGTTTGTGTCTCTGCTGCCCTTGAGTAACACTCTGTCCTTTTGCTCCGCTCCAGGCTGAGTTCTCCGAGCTGAACCTGGCTGCTTACGTCACGGGCGGTTGCATGGTGGACATGCAGGTCATGAGGAATGGCACCAAGGTGGTAAGGTGAGGAGCACCAGCTTGCCTTGAAAACTGGGCTTTCTGGAGCAATGTTGGGGCACGCAGGATGACCTCAGGGTCTGACCAGTATCTGAACAGCACAGTCCTGATGACTTCAAGGTTTCCTGGAAGCGGTGGAAAGACTGACCTGACTCTGGTGGTTTTGTATCAGGTCTCAATTGCACATTATGCCTTTCAGTCATTGTTTCCAGTCTAGACCCTTCAGGCAACCACAAATTCCTCCTTTTCAGGTTCTTTTTAGCCTCAGGCCTCCCAATAAAAGGGACAATGGATCTTCCTTTCCCTTGATTTTTCTCTCTTTCTTTGTAAACTAACCATTGCAAACAGTGGCTTGCATTCATTAGCCTACCTGTGTTGTTGGGTCCTGATCCTTGTGGACTACCCTCGCAATAGCCACAAAACCTTTCCATGATCCTGATCCTCACAGCCTGATTTGCTCCTGAAATAATCACCTTCTTTGCCAGAGATTCCCAATGCTCCAGCCTTGCCCTGTGGTATATCTCAGTTTGATGGGGTTTTCTGTCCCTACTAGCATCACTTCGTAATTGCAGTCATTGTAAGCAGACTCGTTTCCTGAGCAGTGCTTCCCCAATCATGCACCAAATTCACTTTCCAAAAGCATTGCTCCTCTTCTTTCTGACATCAGAGTGCCTGCAATTTGGAGTTAATGTTAGATGCATTCTTACTGGTGCTATACAAAGATCAGTGTAAGTTGTCACATCCGTGTATGATGGTAAAATGCCTCTGTTTACACAGCGCTGATTACACTTTTCACCCTTTTATTCCCAAGCCTACATCTTTATGAGTTTCTGTCATTACATCTTCTAACCCTAGATTTCATCTTTGATACAGTAGCTTTTCTTTGTTCATGCAGAAATCTCATTGCTATTCCCAATCCATTTTTCTAGCCTCTCTACTTCTTTTTATACAGTTCTTTTGCACTTTTTGGTGTATACAGCATCTCCAAGTTTAATGTTGTTCACACATTTAATCAACACTTTTGTCTGTTTGCTTCTAGCTCAGGAATAGAGACACATAATATAGCATGCAGAGATATTTTTGAAAGGGATTATTAGAACAGCTGAAAAACAGTGATTCTGAGCATGCTGGCCTCAATTTAATTTCTCAAGATGTCATTTCCAGTCCAAACAGTGCAAAGCAACACTTGTCACCGTCAATTAGCTATCACTGTGGTCCATCAATTCATTTCAGGACTTGACAGCTCTTAGTGCATCCACAAGTCTCCATTCGTTCTTTGGTACGATTTCACGAGCCTCTGCTAAAAACTTTTAAGGTTGAGTCTGTTACATCCATTTGCTTCCTCTCATCCCACAAACGTCTGTTTCTCAGTGAAACAAAGCGTATGACCCATGAACCAGCTGCTGGAGCATCCATCAGACAGTGTGCCGTGCTAATGCGTTCTTGTGTTTGCTTGCTCACGACGCTGGAAGGTTTCCCAAGAACCATTTCCTAGGTTGATCACATCTTCATTTTCCTTCCCATGCCTTTCCTCCCAAAGCCATTCATACATCTGGCAGAAAGATCTTGAGCTATTAAACTGAAACTGAAGACAAAATTTATTTCACAAGAGTGTCTGGGGCATGGTGTTCACGTTTCTGCTCGCAGTAAATACACAGGTATCACAGCTAGCCTTTTTGCGTGGATATTTATATATGAAAATGAATGTTTTTATGAATGGCATTAGTTCAGTTTTTTTGTTTTCATCTATGTGTGTTTAAGGACATATGCATTTGTGCGGTGGGAAGTGGATTTGGCAAATACATACTTGTCTGGATACCCAATTTATATGGCATGTGTTGTCCATGGTTTATTATAGTCCTTACAAGGACTAGCCATTTGTTTACAGCCTGTGATGATGTGCCCCTGTCCTGCCCAGCTCAGTAATTTTAAGAGCTCAGGCCAGCCAACTTCCACAGCCACATCTACCAACACTTTGAAGTTACAGAAGTAAAAACTCTTCTTCACTTTAGAAGGTGAATTATGGAGCATACTGCTACTGAGCTGTGTGGAGGCCCCTCAGCCCATCCACATGGGTGCAGCTTGCTTCCCACTCCCTCCAAGTCCCTCCATCCCACCCACAGGCACGTCCTGCCTGGCCAGACACCCCTCAGGGTGCCCAGCCACAGCGAGACGCCACGCGGGACACCTTTGATTCACATGTGCGCACCATCCTCCTTTCCAGTGCATTCACAACTTCCTTTTGCACAGGTCCACACACACACAGAGTGAACTGTCTGGAGTCTTATTTACCTTAAAAAGCTCTTGGGCTGTGTCACCTCTACTGGGCTTAGATGTAAGGAATGGGATTTTCATTTTCACTTGTCTTCATTTCTCTGAAGGATCCTTCATACCAATGTTTCCACAGTGCAAAGAGGCTGTCAGTGCTGGCTCTGCACCCACTCTGAGGTGCATTTATGCTTTCAGGATATTATAAAAGTGTCTTAGTGCAAATGAGAATTTGGGCTGTCTCTACTTCTGACAACATTTAGACTCCCAAACTATGATCTCAGCCTCTGCATTGGATTAAATGCATTCCTGTGTTTGTCTTTTGGGTTTTACAAGGCTTCAGCTATTAATTCCAGTAGATGTGGGAATAAGGCAGGGATATGTTGAAAATCTGGACAGCTTTCTTACATGGGGAATACTAATGTCTTTGGGAGCATTTCAGACTTTTAAGGATATAAATTAATCATGCACCAGACTGCTCTCATCTCCTGTCTCCCTGTGGAGCTGGCTCTTTTGCCATTGGGGCTGATCATCCAGGGGAGAAAGCACATTTTTGTATGTCTGCATGGGACCTACCACAGTGGTGGCCATACCACTTAGAGTGCGATGTGCACACTCACTGTAGTACCACAGCACAGAAAACAGCTGATGGACCAGAAGATGCCCAGGGTCTGAAATGGGGAGGACCCTGAGTGGAGTAATGGCGCTGGCAAGTGGGGGCAGGTGACAAAACTGACCACAAAGCAAAGAGGAGCTGAGCACCATGGTCAAAGCCATGCTGGGGGGAAGGATCTCTGCTGTGGAGTGGTGTTTAGTCCTACAGGCCTTGCCTGAATTTGGCTGGTCTGTCTAAGAAGGTGCACGTCTCACCTTGCTTGCCCTGGATGATACGCACCTGTCACTTGCAACTGTGGTGGGGTCAGTGAATGTTCTGATTCCTCCATACAAGCCCATTCATTCCTTTAATTAACACTGATTTTTCCACTGGTTGCAGCTGATTCAGTGCTTCTACTGTGTTCTGCGCTCTGATAACAGGACAGCAGCCTGTTGGATCACCATCCCATATAGACCAGGACCTGAAAGTGCTTTTTTCCCAAAGCATATTTTTGCACTGTAAGCTGCAGTGCAATCACAGCATGAGGAAGCAAATCCTTTTACATGGGAGGAACGGGGAAGAAACTGGCCAGCCCAGCAGCAGGTGTTTTCTCGCTATTCAGAGCTTGCAGACCCCAGGAGACATGTACTCTGGCTAAAAAATATGTGTCTGCTCCAGGATGCAAGACTCTTTAAAGTCCAGTGAGGACATTGTCCTCTGCCCACTGCACCTTTTCGAGTCCCAGTACGTTCACCCACCCCACAGGGCCATTGACAAGCTGCTCCCTGAAAGAGGCATATGGGTTTTCTAACCTACAGAGGCCATGCTTTCTCACCACACAGTAGCTGCACATTGCTAGAAGATGGATATTTTCTTGTCTCTCAAGGACAATTCATTCACAAGAGTTGGTGGTTTCCTGCAGTTCTACAGCGATAATATCCAGGGAGGTCATGGGAATAGCTACTATCCCTGGACACTGATGTAGGACATATTGGTAGGCATTAAGTCACTTTCCAGCTTCTCATGTTCTAGGAAGCTTTTGTCAAAGCGGAACCCTAGGCTCTGTCTAGTCCCTGTCTTTTTTAATTTAAGTCTTGATCTAATTGGAGTCTTTTTTAGAATGTCTTTTTCTGGGTTTTTTGTTGCTTCTAAAGCAAAATTCTGAAAATTTCTGCAAAGATGCAGATGGGAGAAAAAAATGGGAGAAACTGATTGGGAGAGTTTAGGTTTCAAGAAGCCAGATGGAAAAATATGTTAAGTGCGCGGTTTTCCCAAGATTCACAGAATGTGCCACATGGTATAGTACAATATGTGCTATATATTTAACACTGAGCAACATTTGGGCAATATTTTTGTATTGATGGCATGGCAATCTGTAAATGTAATGGAGAACTGTGTGTAACAGTGTGTAAGCTTTTGAAAGTGCACTTTAGGCAAAATATCAACGTGCCAAACGACCATTTCCCTTACCAAAATACCCTGCAGAGACAATGGGCTAGGACAAGGTGTCAAATAGGGTAGACCCTGCCAAGCAGCAGTTACACATGAAGCAATTTAACACCTCCAGTAAACATTTATAAACCAAGAAATTATTTCCACATGGGGGATGATTTACCATCATCTTTCACTAAATATCTCCCCCCTCTTCACCTGCCTGAGCAGGAGCTAAAAAAAAAGGAGAGATGTTGGGGTGTGCTTATTTATGTATTTATTCTCATTTACTTCCACCTTAGCTCCTGCTGCTAAACAGCTGCTTGGAGGCCTGCTTCTCCCTTTGGGGTTTACTGATCTCCCAGATGAAAAATGTCCCCCTTCACCTCCCCAGCAGCTGGCGCCCAGCCGACGTGCAGGCAGGATGCTGACAGTTATTGGGAAAACATTTGGCGTGCAGGCAGCTGCCAGAAAGCAAAAATCACTCTGAGCAGACTAGGGTGGGGAGCATCTCAGAGACTAAACTACTCCCTGGCCCTTTTCACATTTACAGTAATTCTTTCCAATGAGAAATGTGCTGCCAAGGCCTAGAGTACTCATTAATTAGTTAATCCTGGACTGAATGCAAGAATGATTAAAGACTGTTGTAGATTGTCTTGATTGGCTATTTTTTTTTTTTTTCCCCAATCCTGTCTTAATTTATCTCCTTTCT